ATAGATGCGATTTGCAATTTTGTCGATTCTAAGCGTAGCGCGCGCGAGTCGAAGCGATCCGATCGCTGTGCAGGACCGTACCTGTTTATAATTTTTAATTATTTTTATTTTAAATATTTTGGAAAAATGAAATCTGCGAATCGGTCTCAAATTATGCGAACTACCACCCCTACAAATTTGGACGCCAAGTTCGGAAACACCCTGTATATTCAATTGGGTAATATAATGCAGGTAAATGAATCACTAGTTGCGAACGTAATCAGTTAAAAATTTCCGACGTTCCCAGATACGAAATTTTTACCCAGGGTAACCAGTTGAGAAGTTCCGAGTTGTGAAGTTACCTTTCTCATTATCCCGATTATAGAAACTATTTTTTATAATGCGAATGTTTTTAAAAATTAAAAACCTGCATTCGAATTTGTATAACAAAAATAAATCATTAAAAAGAAAAAGGAAAAAACTTTCTTAAAATAGATATTTATTTTATGTATGTATTTGCATTTATTTTCATCAAAAGCTCTTTTCTTAATTACCTCATAATAATATCCTTAAATATTTAATGTAATTTCTATAATATTCATGAAATTTCTGTAAATTTCCTCACACTTGGTTAGTATTTTGAAATTCGCGCCTATACATACTCTACGCGTGACGTCATGCGCGTGGCCGTCCTATTTTTATCACAGTTGATATCCTACCTTTTATTTTTTATACCATGGGAGTGCAGCATGTCGTGTTGAGTGTCGTTACACCATTTGGAAGCAATAAAGAAGTCCCTGCAGTTCAACAATAATGAAAATCAGAGTTCACCAGGACAACCTGGTTACGACAAGCTGTTCAACATTCGTCCTTTTATTACAGGGGTAGAATTCTCGAGTCTCGCATGAAAATTGTCGCACACGGCAAATGTCGCATACCAAATTCGTATGGTTGTTAAAAATACATATTTAGGGGTGCATTTAAACCTTAGATTAAAGAGACCGAAGATGTAACATTGCACACTGCGCATGTTGTCTATTTTAACCCAAAGTAACCCACCAATTGAAAATCATTGTTTGCACGACGCCACCCGAATTGCTCCGATTTTTCCATTCATCGATCACCTCCACCTGAGTTTAATCACCATTGACAGCTGTTTTTTGATTTGTTTGTTGGTATTTTAGCAATTTAAAGTGCTCTAGTTAATCAATTTCAAGTTCAAAATGCCACGATGTATCTTGAAAAAATGTATGTACTTATAATACAAGTACTAATGTTATGAATAGATTCGTTTTCAGCGGTAAATATTTATTAACGTTTTGACATAAAGCGCCATGATTCTCTGGGCTGAATACTTCAGATCCGCATTAAGGGGTTTCAATAAATATTAAGCATCCGAAATCAGATTTCATATTACTTACATAAATTTACAAAAAGATAAAATTTTGAACATTTAATTTAAATAAAAAGTAAATAGGCATTGTTGCTAAAGAAATTTTGTATTTAAAAAGTAGTTTTATAAGAATGTTTTCTAATAGTTATTTTTGTATCTAGTGCGCGAAATGCTACTTTGGTGATCGAGAACTGATTTTTTTTTAACGAGGCGCAGCCGAGTTAAAAAAATAGTCGAGATCACCAAAGTATTTCGCGCATGAGATGCAAACAAAATTTTTTCTACAAACGTCAAAAATATTATTCTAAAATAAGTAACATGCTTAGCTTAATATGAAAAATAGTATTGAACTGGCTTAAACTGTTTTTCCAAATCAAGTAATTACTGTAACTATGGAAATAAAATGGCATTTGTTGACAATTATTTCAAAGTGACAGTTCTTGATAATTATTTTGGAGTGACTAAGATATAAAAATCCCATATAGTTTACATGCAGTGTGCGAAGTAAGTATTTCGCACACTACTTCGCGCACGGTGTCATGGTAACGAAGGAAAATGAAAAAAAGGGTCACTTCGCATATTGTTGTCAATGCGCGAACCTTGTTATTTTTTGACGTTTGTAGAAAAAGGTGATTTTAAGCCCTTTTTGGTAGATAAATAAGAAGTAAAGAATCATAGTTGCTAGCTAAATTTTATTTTTATAAGGTATTTTTATAAGAATATTAGATGAAATACAGGATGACCTACTTAAAATTACAAGGTTCATCTTATTTGCGGTCAAATCGAAAGTGACATTTGAATCTTCAGTCTTAAAACAAAGTAAAACGCACCATATGATCTAGTATAAGCAAAAAAATACTAAAGTTACGGGAGTTGGTCACATTAATAAAATGTTACATCACAAACCCCTAAACAACACGAACAAAATTTTCGTTTACTAAAAAAATCCAAAATTTAGCAATATTTATTATTTATTATACAATCGAATGCGGTTTCAAAGATAACGGGATCAAAAAATCCGAATCTCTAAATTTTTGAGCTAAACGCTTGGATAAAAGCAAACGACCGATAGGGGTTACAAAAATAATCGATTTATCGATAATTCTGATATTTTTTTTATGAAAATCGATTTATCCGCTGTTTTTAATAAATTATTTTTGTTTTTTTAAGATAATTTATTAATCGATATTAAAGGAAATACAAAAAAAAGTAGATTTATTCAAAATAATCGATTTTCGTTCAATTGGTTTTTTCATTATTCGATTGAATATACTCGGTTATTTTATATAACCGATATTTTCGTTATTTTTTAAAATTATCGATTTATTGGTTAATCAGCTTTTTAATAATCGATTATTTTTGATAATCGAATAATCAATTTTAAAGGAAATATTAAAAAAAGGATTATTAGAAAATAATCGATAATTCGTTTTATTTTTTGGAAAATCGATTTATCATAGAATCGGCTTCTTAATTAATTGGTTATTTTCGATTAGGCGATTATTTTGGAATTATCGATTATTTTCGGTATTTCAAAGATAATCGAATTATCGATTTTAAGGAAATACAATAAAATAGATTATTGATAATAATCGATTTATCATAGAATCGGCTTAATTAATTGGTTATTTTCGATTAGGCGATTATTTTGAAATTATCGATTATTTTCGATATTTCAAAGATAATGGAATTATCGATTCTAAAGAAAATACAATAAAGTAGATTATTGATAATAATCGATCGATGAAAAATTATCAATTATTTAAAATATTCGATAATTCTGTTTTTTTTTTTGAAAATTGATTTATCAGTTAATCGACTTTTTAATTAATCGATTATTTTTGATTAATCGATTATTTTCGATTTTTCAAAGATTGTCAAATAATCTGTTTTAATGGACGAAAAAAATGGATTATTAGAAAATAATCGATAATTCGGTTATTTTTTGGAAAATCGATTTATCGTAGAATCGGCTTCTGAAATAATTAGTTATTTTCGACAGACGATTATTTAGGAATAATCTATTATTTTTGGTATTTCAAAAATAATCGAATTATCGATTTTAAAGGAAATACAATAAAAATAGATTATTGATAATAATCGATTGATCGAAAATAATCGATTATTTAAAATAGTCGATCATTCTGTTTTTTTTTTTTTGAAAATCGATTTATCAGTTAATCGACTTTTAATTAATCGATTATTTTTGATTAATCGATTATTTTCGATTTTTTTAAAAATTATCGAATAATCTGTTTCCACGGACGAAAAAAAAAATGGTTATTTGAAAATAATCGATCATTTAAAATAAACGATAATTCTTTTTTTTATTATATTTTGTAAACACTGATTTTTCGGTTAATTGGCTTTTTAATTAATCGAATATTTTTGATTTTTCAAAGATAATCAAGTAGTCAATTTTAAAGGAAATGACAAAAAAATATGTTGTTTGAAAATAATCGATTGATCGAAAATAATCGATTATTTTCAATGATCGATAATTTATTTCAATAATCACTCATCCCTAGCGACCAAATTACTTTTAATAGATTTTAATTTTAAAATGTTATCTGGTTTCAGACATATGCATTTCTAGAGTTTTATGTGACTCATCCTTTATAATAATTAATATTCCTAAAGAAAGAAGCCTTAACATACCTTTTTCTGAGGTTATAATACAAAACAGCATTTTCTCATTTTGACTAATTTTTATTATTATGTAATAGCCGTAGAAAAAATATAATGTTCAACTCATAAGGTTAGATTTGCAGTATTCGCCTGCGCACATGCTATTTTTATAATACTCGTAGACAATGAGTAACATTTTTTGCTCTATCAATAATATATTCTATTTCAACATTTTACTGTAATCTCTTGCAGAAAAGTCCGTAGTAAATAAACGCTAACGAAATATTATATAAAAGGTCTTCTCTTTAGATAAAATGTCATGGCATCTGTTTGATATTAAAAAATCACGTTAATTTTATTTCATAATACAAAATTCGATTAAACACCTTTTAAATAAATTTAATAGTTCATTATGATGCTAATAAACAAAGTCCGGTCCCTGCCACAGAGTTCGGGTCGCCGCGTGTCGCCGCCCAGTTCCCCCACTCCGTTAACCTTTCTTTAGAAATTGGCAACATTTGCGCAGGTTAAAAACCGGTGTATGTCATATCTCTGGTCTCTTTTATCTAAGATTTAAACCTATGACCTATGTTACTTGTTTCTAAAAAATAAATCTGAATTACCAAAATATTAGTGAATAGACTAGAGAATGTTCCAGTTTACGAGTGCACATTGCTACTTGGAAGTGTGAAGGCTGTTTTAAATTATTTTTAAAGTAAATTAAACACAAAATAATTTTTCGTAGCACTTAACATAATTTGTACCATAGAGGGTTAATAGTAGAAAGATCATTATTATCGCTATTCCAATTAAATACAATTTTATACTTAATTTTGACGTTTGGTCAATATAAACCTGGATATAGAGTATATTTACCTTTGAATAAGAATAAAGCTACAAACTGGTTCAATTCGATATCCTGAGGAGTGTTTGAAAAAAATTTCGACTTTTTTGAGTCTGAAATGAAAAATTGTCTAGAGGGTAAATTATAAATACCACGGTAGAACTCTAGCGAGCTCTTTTGCACAAATATTTTCTAGATGAAGATTAGATAAGAATGTTTCATTTCAGACTAGCCCTGTGAGCAGAATTCTCAAAAATTCGATTTTGTTCAAAAAAACACCCCGAAAAAAATGCAAGCCAAATAGCCCGGTGGCAATTGAAAAGAAATCACAGAACCAATTATTTGTAGCTTCAATCTAATTTTTCACAGGTAACCCCTGTCCATTGCTAATATAAAATCGGTTAAAATTTCTATTACAGTCTAATAATCGTTCATCACACACCATTTTGATTACTCAAGATTGGACGCTCAACCTTTGGCAAATATTCTCGACTCTCATCTTTAGCAGACTGAACACGTCTTCTGACAACTTCTCCACCGTGGTGTACTTGCATTTGTGAAAACTGAAAATGTCCGCTAAAAATTCCATGACCTGAAAATAATTAAAACGGACTATGTCGAATGTTGTTAATTATGGAATTAATTATACTCTTACTTGTTCTTTGAAATAGACGCACGAATCCCTAAGCAGTTCGTCGGAGCCCAGAAAGCCCCAAGCTAAAAGGGGGGTTAGTTGTTCGGATATCGTGTAGAAATGGGACATGAAACCATCAGGAAAACGTAATTTTCTTTTTTTCGCTTTCAATACTGACCATACTGCGGTGGTTAAGGCTGTCTCTTTGAAACCCTATATAAAGGAATTTGAAACATTATAATGTGATCATAAATAATTTTGGGGAAGAAAATTTGAAGCATTGACCATGTTATACAAAAAAATAATTCAGCAATAGAAAAAAAAGAAAAAATTACGGCAGCGTAAAAAGGCCATCTACTTTATATATTTATTTCTCAAATTCCATGTTTGAATGGCATTCCGTATTCAAACATGGAATTCCATATACAAACATGGGATTTCATATTTTCTTGTACAAATAAGGAATTTATTATACAAGCACGAAATTCCATATTCAAACAACGAATTACCTCGTTCGAACAAGGAAATTCTATATTTGATGACGGAATTCCATATTCAAACATGTAATTCCGTAGACAAACACGGAATTCCGTATCCAAACACATAATTTATTATTTGTTCCACTTACACGAAATTCCGTATTTTTATAAGGAATTCCATACTCAAACAAGAACTTCAGCGATCGAAAACGGAATTCCACAAATCAAACACGTATTTACGTGAGCAAACACAGAATTTCATATTTACTTGTTCAAATAAGGAATTTCGTAAACAAACACGAACTTCGGTATCCATACAATGAATTTTCGCGCCCCAACACGGAAATTCTCCAATCGAAGACGGAATTCCGTATTCAAACACGTAATTCCGCAGACAAACACAGAAGGCAGTATACAAACAATACATTTTATATTTCCTTGTTTAATTACGGAATTCCTTATACAAACAGGAAATTCCGTATCCATGTAAGGAATTTCCAAGATCGAACACGAAAATTCCATATTAGAAAACGGAATTCTGTATTCAAGGACGTAATTCTGTAGAAAAACAAAAAAATATCAGATTTTAATGTCAAAAAACAGAAATTTGTCCCGTATTTAAATACAGAATTACCTATTAAGATACATAACTTCCGTGTTTGAACCTAGAATTCCGTATTTAAACAAGGACATGAACACAGAAATTCCGTACTCGAACACAGATTTCCGTATTCAAACACGGAGTTCCGTCTAAAAACACGGAATTTATTATTTAATTGTTCTAATACGGAAATTAATTTTCAAACACGAAATTACGTATTTAAACAATAAATTCCGTATTTAAACAAGACATTCCGTATTTAAACGACATTCCGCATTTTTACAAGGAATTCAGTATTCAAACACACAATTTCCATATTCGAACACATACTTCACTATTTCCTATTTTAACATATAATTCCGTATATAAACAGGAAATTCCTTATACCAACACCGAATTCCATATTTCTTTGTTCCAATATAGAATTTCCTGTTCAAAATTATTTCCGTAGTTACAAGCGGAATTCCGTATAAAAACACAAAATTTCCGTATATAAACACGGAATTTCATATTTCTTTATTCCAATACGTATTTTAGTGTTCGAACACAGAAATTCTTTCCGTATTTACACAAGAAACTGCGTATTAAAATATATAATTTCGTATATAGTTACGGAATTCCATATACCAACAAGGAATTACATATTTAATTGTTCCATTAAGGAATGCCGCATTCGAACACGGAAATTCCTTTTTAAAATGCGAACTTCCAGCTACTAAAAACACGGATTTCCGTATTTAAACATGCAATTCCGTATTCAAATAGAGAATTTCCGTATTCTAAGTCAGAATTCCGAAATTGAAGGAAATATTCTACTGAATTCTGTGTTCTAATACGGAAATTCTTTCCGTATTTACACAAGGAATTCCGTATTAAAATACATTTCCGTGCTCGAACCCGGAATTCCGTATATAATCAAGAAATTTCATATACTAACACAGAATTTGTTCATTACGGAATACCGTGTTCAGACAAGAAAATCCCTATTACAAACACGGTTATCCTTCTGTAAATACGGAATTAATTTTCGTATTCAAACACAGAATTCAGTGAAATATTTCCTTGTTCAAATTCATAATTCTGTGTTCATAGTAGTTGGAATTTCGTGTCTAAATAGGAATTTCCTTGTTCGTTTCCGGTTTTTCGTATTGGAACAAATAAATATGAAATTTCATGTTGATATATGGAATTCCGGGATTATATACGAATTGCGGGCTTAAACACAATTGTGTAAATATTTCATTTAAATTGTTCCATTATGGAATACCGGAAGCGAACATAGTAATTCCTTTTTTAAACACGAAATTCCAACTATTACAAACACGGAATTCCATATTTAAATAAAAAAATATTTCACTAAATTCTATGTAGAAACACTCTTTTCCTCATTTACATAAGGAATTCCGTATTAAAATGTACAATTTCAGTGTTTGAACCAGGAATTCCGTATATAATCAAGAAATTTCATATACCAACAAGAAACTTTATATTTAATTGTTCCATTACGGAATACTGTGTTCGGACACGGAAATTCCTCTTTCAAACACGAAATTCCATTTTACAAATACAGAATTCCATATTCAAATAAAGAATTTTCGTATTCGAACACATAATTCCGAATTTGAACAAGTAAATAATATTCAAACATGAAGGTCCGCTTACAAACACGGAGTTTCATATTTTCTTGATTAATAGGGAATTCTGTGTTCAAACACGAAAAACAATTCGGAATTCTGTATTATACACATAATTTGCGTGTTCGACCCGGAATTCCGCATTAAAACAAGGAAACATGAAATTTCGCGTTTGAACATGGTAATTCTTTATTCGAACACGGAATTCTGAATTCAAACACGGAATTAAGTACGCAAATACAGAATTTATGATTTAATTGTTTCAACACGGAATACAGTGTTTGAACACAAACATTCCTTTTTTAAATACGGAATTGCGTCTGAAACACAGAATTTCTGTATTCGAACACAATTCCGTATTTGAACAAGGAAATATGAAATACTGTATTTAAACACGGAAATTATTTATTCGCTCACGGAATTCTGTATTTAAACAAGAAATTTCGTATACAAACACGTATTTATATACGGAATTCCGTATTTAAAAAGGGAATTCTATGTTCGAATTTAATATTTCACATTTCATTGTTCAAATACAGAATTCCTTCTTCAAACAAGGAAGAGAGAATTCGGTTTTCAAATTGGGAATTCCATATTCAAAAAAGGAATTTCAGAAATAAAAAATGTGTCATTTCTGGGGTTTCAATTAGTATTAAAAAACTGTGAAAAGTACAAACTTTTCGTAAAAAATTAAAAATATTTCTCATAAGCATCAACGATATGAAAAAAACATAGCCCAGGAAGAACTATCAAATTTATAGTTAAGGAAAAATATACGAATTAAAAATGAATTAAGATAGGTTTGAATTTTTTAAGAACATTTTTTTAAATATAAGTTTTAAAAATAATAAAAAAAAGTTTCAAAATTGTAGTTTAGGAAACTTTTATGAAAAATTTGAAATAGGATTGAAAAAATCTTGAATAAATATTTTATAGTCCCGAAACATTTCATGAGGATAAAATTTGGAAAAAAAGTCTTAATTCTAGCTCAGAAAAATTAAATATAATAATAACAAAATGATTTAAAAATATTCTAATATAGTAAAAACTATTTTAAAACAACCAAATAATCCAATGTGTTCCTACAAATGGGTTTCTTATTCAATTTTTTCTTACCTTTGACAGCCACCTATTTTGTATAACAGCCGTGACTGACGATGGAGGATTACTGAGATCCTCGAAAGCATCTAATAATATATAATCTAAGACGATGTCGTAAAACGTAAGAGCTTTTATCCCTCTAGCGCTTAGTTCTTCTTGCAGGTCCTCCCAATTTTGAGCGTCTTGACTAAACTTGATCATCTCTTCATAACCTTCAACAAAAATTAACATTTAATCAAACAAAAAGTAGAAGAAAACATTTTTTTTTAACATGTATATAAGTTATAAAAAGAATAGAAAATATAGAAAAAATACATACCTATTAAAAATTCTTTAGGATCTTTATCAGCATACAACAATAAATCAGCCAAAACCTGTCTACCAGCATCAACGAACCACACATAGGTCATTCTATCCCTGAGCATATGCTGGAAGGCCAATCTGAGACAATGCAATTTAGCCAAATACTCCCCATCGGTCCCGCATTTCACGGCCTCTGTTCTGAGCGTCCTACAGGGGATTCCACCGTTCTCGACTTGCCTCAAAGCGCTCTGGTACAACTGGTAGGATTCCAAATCCGGAAAGTACTCGGAAAATTCCTCGAATTCCCGCAGATCGGCCACCTGTAGGGAAGACAAAGATTTATAACCAAAAGTAATCAATGCGGGAACTTACGAAAGTGGCCGTTACTTGGAAACTTTGTTTAAGTTGAAATATTTCTTGTTTTCGAATCGGTTTTTGGCATACAAAGTATACACGGCAACATTTTGTTTGCTTGTACGATGATGGTGTGATTAACATCAGAAAAAGAAGATAAATAAAAACCAGGCTGCCAATATACAATGAGTTTCTTCAAACATTAAAGTAATACACGGAGGAGATTATTAGTTATGTACAGTGTTTAACAAAAAATAGCGATATCTTAAAAAACTGTCACAATTATGATACCAACTTTTAATGACCGATAAATAGATACTTCTTTTTTGAACATAATTTAAATTTAAAGTCATTTTGTTTAGTATGGATTGTGAAAATCAAACAAATACATTATCAAGTCTCTAAAAAGGTCCAGAAATTAATAAAATTAGCAGTATCTCAATAATTTTGGAAAATATTGATCCAAAATTTGATATGAAGGGTACTTTTATGAAGTAGGCAAATTTTAGTTATAATTTGAAGATTTTGTTTATTACATGTACTACAGATCGATAAATCCAAGCAATAATAATGTAGATTCAGTCAAAAAGTACCGTGATCCATAAAATTTAACCTATCTAAATATCGTTATAATATTTTAACAGCAGTAGATAGACAAAGCTGACATGGTGACACATAGGGAACGCAATGTATAAGAGTGAGAAGTACAAATTCAGTAGGTAAGAGTGAGACAGAGTGATGGGAAGCGGGGGAGTAATGGGAATTAAATCTCTTTTAACGTTGAACAGAAAAATCATGAGACTGCCAGAAGGGAAAAATGGTATTATGTAGATAACTCGGTATAGATTAACGTCGAAGAGAAAAATCAACATTTCGTTTGACTTTTTCGTTTGACGTTTTCGTTTGACGTTTTAGTTTTGACGTTTTTGTTTGACGTTTTCGTTTGACGTTTCGTACTTCAACTAAACTAACTACTACTACAGCCAGGTTGGTCTAAGACCTCTAAATGTTGATTTTTCTCCTCAACGTTAATCTATATCGAGTTATCTACATAATACCGTTTTTCTCGTTTGAATCGGACCAACAATAACAAAGATACACGCTTAGGCCCTTCTGGCAATCGCATGATTTTTCTGTTCAACGTTAAAAGAGATTTAATTGCCCCCACTCCCCCGCTTCTCCTCATTCTGTCTCACTCTTACCTACTGAATTTGTACCTCTCACTCTTATACATTGAATTCCCTATGTGTCACCATGTCAGCTTTGTCTATCTACTAACGGCTATCATTATAAATAGTTCTTTTTTGACATAATAAAATTTCAAAGTTATTTTTAATGATTTTGTTCAGTAAAATAAAATGTTTGTTAATTAACTTTAAAAGAACAGATATTAACAGAAGTAACATCTCAAAAATTTGTCAAAATATTTACGCCAAATCTTTATGATCGATTAATAAAGAAAATATATTCAAATATCAAAGTAATAATACGAATATTTCATTCATTATCCACAGATAAAAATTTCTAGAACGTTCTCTCAAAAATATATTTAAGTAAAAATATATTATTGACATATAATTCTACGACGAGGCAGTTTATTAGTTCGTTTTTTCCAGGAAACACGTTTCGTAAATCTAATTTTCTCTTTTTCTCTATACATTTCGAAGGCGTTTTTATAAAATGATCTAACCATATCCTGCGCAGAAGCGAAACTCTCCCCGCCGGACAAATCAACATCTTTGACGGTTCCTTCTTTGACGCCGCTCTCCGATCTAAACAATATCGACATTTCGTCCAGGAACAGCATTTCCGAATTCTCTTGTAGTTCGATCGCGTATTCCAGGAGCTGTTGGATATCCTTGCAAAAGGCCGTTTCCTCTGGGCCCAGTACCGCGAAAGGGGCCGATCCGTCTTTGGTGGTGTTGCGGTAGGCCGCCAACGCGTCTTCCCAGTAGCCTATGCACGTTTCTAGGGCTTCCATACCTGGAAAGAAATTTCATTGATTATAAAATGAAAAAGTCCAATATAAGATTTATAAGGAGTAAAAATATAACGGGACATTTATTAGTTGTTGAAATCATGATACTTAATACTAATACGTGGTGCAATTTAAACAATAATTTATACATAATAGTGAAAAATTTCTTTTTGTGCCCACCAAAACAAAAGATATTTTTTCTTAAAAAAAAACGCAAGAACGGGTGGTTTGATTTTTATTTCAAGGAGGACAACCTTTTTGTCATATCCTCAACTGTCATATGTCATTCCTCTCCCCTCCGTTATTCTAACCAATACAACTTAAACAGGGAAAGTACCTATTCCACATACTTTGATTACTATACGGGGCAAGAGAGAGGTCCAACACGCCCTACATAGGGCGCGGCCATTTTGAACCCTATGACACAGTTTATAGCTAAAGAATCAGATCGCTCACTCTGCGTCGGCACTTTTTATCTCAATGTTCCAGTTTAAACACTGCGCAACTCAGATAATACAATATATGACAACCGCCTATAATAAAACAGCAGTCTTCTGCGTATCCTGATTTTGTATCCCTGGAGTGGATGTTATTTTGGAACTTTAAACTGGTCCGAGTGAGCTAACTGATTCTTTAGCAATAAACTGTGACTCCAAAAATAATATTCACTGACACTGACAGCAGCAAGCAAAATATCAGGTGCGTTTTAATCATCCGCTCCTGCTTCCGGAATTGTCGGTTCAGTCGTTCTAACCTGTCAGATTAAAACAAGAAAACCGACAATTCCGAAGCAGCAGCGGATGATTAAAACGCACCTATTAAAAATATTGCGCCAAGATGTAGGCAACACGTAATAAGGGTTCAAAATGTTTTCTATCTCCTTTTAAAAGGCACTCAGAAAGCTTTGCAGTGCGACCATTCTCCGTATAGTAAAAGAAAATCAAAGTATGTGACCTATTCGCTCAGTGCGAATTCATGGTAGGGGAAGCAAAAGCGATACTAGCGCTAACTGAGGATAATTCGTGCATTTTAGGGCGATATTTTGCAGTAAGAAGGGGAAAGTAATTACGAACCTTCATTTTTGTAACAAGAGTATTTAATACCTATTGAAAATACTAGACATCAGAAAACTGAAAGGTTTTATATACTTAATTATTATTTTACGATTTTCTTCAAAATTCCTTAAGTACATGTTTAAGATCGAAATATTTTTGCCTTTGATTCTGATAATTGTCTGTATCTGAAATGCAATTTTGCGAGTGAATAATTGGAAAACAGTTATATAATAATTAATTTTATGTTTTCTTTCGAACTAAAAATGATGAAAACAAGTACAAGTTACATTCGAAAGTATTACAATATTCCAACTATTTTTTGGGATTAAATTTTGAATACACGTTTGACATTAACCTTCAACTTCATTAGGCAACTTTTCATACACTTTCTCGTAAATTCTGTTGCCTAACTACCTGATCTGTGCACATGTTTTAATAATTTTTTTATCAAATATACTTATTTTTCTTTAGCTAAAGTAATAAAAATATATAATAATAATAAATGAATCTTTTCACTTGTTTTATAAATCAATATACTTTCATTAAAAGCAAAAAAACATTTTATATTTAGAAATTCTATTAAAAATGATACTGTCAATACACGAAAAATCCCCCTTTAGGACATATTTGTGTTGGCGCTGTCGTCACGCACGGAACGAATACACATCATCAAAAAGGTAATTTAATAAATAATTCAGCAATGTAACTGTTTATTGAACTACTTTTAATTTTAGCGCCCTCTAGCAGGATAAAAAATTGTAACGTATTGTAAAGTGAGCCTGTCGCTTCATTTGAAAGCTAATTTTATTAGTAATTCAATGCCCTGCATTATATTATGTTATCTAAATAAAAAATGTGGTTATTATTTCCATTGTCCCGGTATGTCGAATTTCTTTATACAGTTTTCTTTTGCATTTTAAAAGTGCTAGTACAATCCATTATACAGGGTATCTAAAACCGTTTTACATATTATTATACAAATTAGAAAAAGTTTTATCTTAAAAACGTTTTGAGACATTGGATTGGGATGTGCTCATTGAGCTTGTCGTTAACAATGCGCATCCAGGCATTGTTATTGACGACGTAGGTACTCGAAGAACACGTCGCCATCCATTATACCATGTGTTTCAAAACGTTTTATTCAAATGGAAAATAGTTTTATCTTACGCACGCACGTTTTGAGAAACCCTGTAAAACATACTGCGACGTGCTCTCGAGCACGTCGTTAACAATGTGTATCCAAGCATTTTTATTAAGGGCGAGCTCAAAGAGCACGTCACAATCCATTATACAGTGTGTTTCAAAACGTTTTATACAAATGGGAAAACGTTTTACCTTACGCACGCACGTTTAAAGAAACCCTGTACAAGGTACTGCGACGTACTCGAAGAGCACGTCATTAACAATGTGTATCCAGGTATTGTTATTAATTATACAGGGTGTTTCAAAACGTTTTATCCAAATGGGAAAGTTTTATCTTACACACGTTTTTCGGAAACCCTGTAGAACGGACTGCTACGTTCTCTTCGAGCACGTCGTTAACAATGTGAATTCAAACATTGTTATTAACGACGTGCTCGAAAAGTACGTAGCAATCCATTATACAGGGTGTTTCAAAACGTTTTATATAGAAAGGGAAAAAGTTTAATCTTACGCACGTTTTGAGACACCCTGTACAACGGATTGAGACGTGCTCGAAAAACATTTTATACAAATGGAAAAAAGTTTTGTCTTACCCACGTTTTGAGATACCCTGTACAATGGATTAACACAATGTGTATCCAGGCAATGTTATTAACGGTGTGCTCGAAGAGCATGTCACAAGAAGAGCATGTCGCAATCCATTGTACAGGGTGTCGTTAACAATGTGTATCCAGGCATTGTTATTAACGAAGCGACGTGCTCTTCGAGAAATGGTAAAAACTTTTTTCAAAACGTTTTATACAAATGGGAAAATTTTTTTATCTTTTACACGTTTGTAGACACTCTGTACATTGGATTGCTACGTGCTTTTTGAGCATGTCGTTAACAATGTGTATACAGGCATTGTTATTAACGACGTGCTCAAAGAGCACGTCGCAATCCATTATAAAGGGTGTTTAAAAACGTTTTATACAAATTATAAAAAACATATCTTATGCACGTTTTGAGACACTCTTCGAGCACGTCGTTAACAATGTGTATCTGGGCATTGTTATTTCTCGAGGAGCACTTGGCAATCTATTATACAGGGTGTTTCAAAACATTTTATTCAAATGGAAAAAAGTTTTATCTTATCCACGTTTTAAGACATTCTGTACATTGGATTGCGACGTGCTTTGTTATTAACGTCACAATCGATTATACAGGGTGTTTCAAAACGTTTTATACAAATGACAAATTTGAAATGCTTCCTATGAATGATCTACGAAAATCAGTTAACAATTTTGATAATAAATACTTATTACACGAAATTTTAAACTGTAGGATACTAAAATAAGTCTTCTAAACTATTGGTAATGTCTTAAATCTAGCAAATAAATCACTTGATACTGGTAGAATTCCCAGTTCATTAAAAATCAGTACATATTCAGAAAATAATGAATAACAATAATGCTGATGAATTTAGACCAATAAATACTTTGCTTGCAATAGAAAAAATTATAAAAATTGCTGTTCAAAATCAATAATGTATCATGTTTATGAAAATTCGATCCTAATATTTAATTAGTTAGGTTTTAGAAAAAAAAAAAATAAAAATTCTGTGAATTAACCTACAACTTATATATTTGTTAACATTCAACCTAATTTAGATGAAAATAAATATTGTAGCAGTCTTTTTGAACTTCAAAAGAGCTTCTGAGACAATTGAAGATACCTTTTTGCTGACTAAACATCCTATATAACATAAATAATGATATGAGGATTCCTCAAGGTAGCGTATTGGATCATTTTCTTTTTATTTTATACATTTATCGATTAAAACAATTTTAAACATTACTTTGTAGTTATTTGTAAATATTGAGAAATACTTTTTTACATTTTAGATACAGATTCTCTTTATTCCCTTTTAAGGTCTGACAATCATTTTTGTACCGTCATTTTGATGCTATAAATATTGATAATGAATTATAAGAAACAATAAATTATTCTGAACGCTCTTTTTAACACCCAAGACCCCAGCTATATCAACCCTTAACTAGTAATGATAACCATGTGTTTCCTTATCTTTGATTTTATTACTAAAATATTTTACTATCTTGAAGAAATTAAGAGTGTTGATGGTCTAAAAGTGGTCCTAATATAATATACAGGGTGGAAGAAAAGTCTGCAAACGCCTAATTTTTTCGAAATCGGGTTTTTAGAAACGTTTTAGGGTTTAAGAACACGATTTCTAATTGGTTATTTCTACTTTTGTCAGATTAACCGTTTGTCCGATATTTGTCTGTTTTTACCAGAAAACTTTTTAAATATTATATTATTTCAGATCAACCAAGAAATGAGAAGAAAACTTTTTATTGGGTTACTTTACTTTTAGCGCTCTCTGGATGGTTAAAAAATTGTTACGTATTGTAAAGTGTGACTATGAAGACTAGTGTGACAATACATTTGAAAGATAATTTTATTAGTAATTAAATGCAATGCATAATATTGTTATCTATCTAATATAAAATTGTTTGTCCTGATTGACTGACCTATCAACGTACAGTCAAAACTACTGAGCCTAGAAAGCTGAAATTTGAAACATAGGTTTATTTTATAACGTAAGCATCCGCTAAGAAAATTTTTTTGGAAATTTTAACTTCAAAGGGGGGACATGGGGGAGGGAGTTTTTAATAAAATTATTTGTTCTTTAAAGTTAGAAACATGAAAATTTAAATTACAGCTACTAAGCATAAATAAATAATGACGTGTTTCAAGGTTTTTGAATTGACTACAAATTATTAATGACATGTTTCAGGGTTTTTGGA